ATTCTCGAGCTTAAGTCTTGGAGTGGTTCATTTCATAATAATGCATAATTGATTAGTACAGTGGTAAATAGCATTGGGTACATTAAAAAGGGGGGCTGGAAAACCCAGATCTCAGAAGACCTTCTTTGTAGTCCCCAGTGACATGACAAATTAGAACATGTAACTGCTTATCATGTAATTTGATAAGATTTCAAACCAATATTGAAATGAGAGAATGCCCAGGAGGTCAAATTTAGGGAATAGACCCCAACTATGATCTTTTGTTATGGTTTATATCTAGATGTCCCACCAAGAGCCTCATGTACTCTTAGGCAGGGCTTCTGGAAGATGAATGGATTATGGGGGCGTTGTTGCTAACCTGCTGTTAGGAGGTGGGGCATGGTTGGTAGGGGTGGGTCACTGGAGGCATAACCTGGTAGGGTTTATCTCGCTCCCTGTCTCCTCCTTACTCTCTGCCTCCTGGCCTTCATGATGTGTGCAGTTTTCCCACTGCCGTGCCCCTCTGACATGCTGTCCTTCCTTGGACTAATGGACTAGGAAAACATGAACATGAGCCAAAAGAAAAAAACAAAAAACCTCTCCTCCCTTAAATTTCTGGGTATTGTATCTCAGTTGTGAGAAAATAACTAAGACATTCCTCTTCTTTTTTCATGTGGTGGAAGTGCTGTTTTTTATTGTCTGCCTTATAATATACCCGTAAGATGAACAGTGGGAACCATAATCATAATTGCTAAAATAATGAAATGGGAGGCTATTAGATTAATGTGGCTCTAATGCCCCAGGTTCCTACTTAAGTAAACTGAAACCTAACTCAGTACTGATATAAATTAAACTCAGCCAATTGCAGCAGACCAATTAGACATTAGATATGTTGTACATACCTAATATCCTACCCAGGATAGTCCAAATAAGGCAGTTGTACACACTTTTACCAGTTAGATAATTTTATTGCTCTGCTTCCACATTCACCCTATGAAAACTTTCCTTTCAGTTCTGCCCCTTTAGCAGATCCCTGAAATATTTCCAGTTTGAAGCTGCCCCATTTATGAATCACTGCTCAGATAAACTTTAAACATTTTCTTTTATTTTTTGGTTTTTGTTTTTTGAGACAGAGTCTCACTATGTAGTTGAGACTGCCCTGGAACTCACTATGTAGCCCAGGCTGGTCTCAAACTCACAGTGATCCTCCTGCCTCAGCCTCCCTAGTGCTGGGATTACAGGTGTGCACCACCACACCCGGCCTGAATTTTAAAATTTTAATGTGGCAGGTCTGGGGATTTAGCTTAGTGGTGCTATGCCTGCCTTGCAAATGCAGGGTCCTGAGTTCAATTCCCAGTATATTAAAAAAATTTAATATGGCAAAGTTTGTGTTTTAATGTAATAAAAAATAGCTAAAATTTATTAAATGATTTCTATGAAAAAGGCACAGTGCATATCATTTCAGAAACTTTACCTTATTTAAAACCCATATGGCATAACATTGGGTTACAATAACCTATTCCATACTTTTCTACTATAAATTTGTACTTTAACATAATCACCAGCTGTGCATCTCATTCACTGCACCTGAAGAATATAGGAAGCAATCTTTGTGTTTATCCACTTGGTGCAATTAACAAGATGTGTGCACGTGTGTAAAAGCATCAAGCCAAAATCTTTACCCATACAATGCTACAGCTAACAAACTTTGTGTGTGTCTACCTGAGCATCACAAGGGGTAAAATACACCCACACTACTCTTCTGTTGTGTAACATGTATTTTATCATAATGGAATGTGGGTGTGACTCATAGTAGCTACACCTGGGGAAAGCAAAAACCCATCTGTGTATTCATTCACTTGGCAAACAACAAAGTATGTGCAGGAGCACCAAAGCAGCAACAGGTGAGTTTTACCTATGAAAAGCACATTGCTAAATTTTTATGCATTTAGGATTTGTTCTTTTAAAAGTTTTCACATAACTTTTCTGGTAGAAGTAGCCCAATTCAGTATAATGGCACATCAAAAACAATATTTGCAAGTTTTAGAGGAGGTTGAAAGTGAATCATCAGATTACTCATGCATGGATGATGAAGATGATAATGACTGTGATGTTGGCCATGTGAGCCAAAGTTCCTGCAACAAGTTCCCAGCATGTGAGTGCATAAGGCCTTGGGAGATATCTAGATAGAAGCCATAACACATAACCACAAAGCACTACTACTACTCTAAAGAAATTAGCAATAGTTTTCCCCAATAGCCTTTAATCTACAGTCCATATTCAAATTTTCCCTTTTGTTCTCAATATAAATCGCAGATGCTTTTGAACCAAAATCTAATTACAGTTCACCTATTACACTTGCTAGCTATGTCTCTATAGTCTCTTTTATTCTAAAAATAAATTTTAAAATACTAAAATTTTAAAAATTATATTGTAGGCTTTGTGGGGGAATAGTGGGGATTGAACTCATGACCTTGCACTTTCAAAGCAGGCATTGTGCCACTGAGCTAAATCCCCAGCCTTTGTAGGCTTTTGAAAGGAACCCTCCTCCATTGTTGGTGGGAGTGCAGACTAGTGCAACCACTATGGAAATCAATATGGAGATACCTCAAAGAGCTTGGACTGGAGGTTCCATTTGACCCAGCCATCCCTCTGTTGGGTATCTTTCCAAGAGAACTAAAAGAATCATGTAGGCTTTTTTTTAATGGGCTGGTGATTGAACCCACGGCCTTGACCATGCTAGGCAAGCTTGCTGCTATTAAACTATACATCTAGCTCCAATGTTGTGTTTTTAAAGAAACTAATCTCACTGTCTTATAGAATCTCTTATATTTTGGGTGTTTCTGAATATTTACTCACTGCATCCTCTAGCTATTCTTTTCTTCTCAACCAGGTGTCTTTGGAGCAGTATTTTTCAGAGCTTTTAGTATGTCAGTGTGCAAAACAATTCACCAATTGGACACCATTTAAGTGCTCCTGCCATCTTTATAACAGCCTTGTCTTTTGGAATTGCTGCCACCTACAACACACACAGAGACACATACACACACACCCACCAGCCACATGTAGACTGTGTAAGTCTACCTTCCTGACTAGGCCATTAGAACCATCACCTTGAGATTAGAGCATATTTGACAAGTGATTCAAAAAGAATTGGACAGATGCAGATGGGGGAAAGCCCAGAAAAATCAAGATAAATTGCCAAGAGATTTTAGGTGAGTTTTAAAGTAGTACAGTTATTGTATGTGTAGATATTATTGATGCCTGCAAATTGAGGGAAAGGCAAGAGAAAGGTGTTGAGTTAGGGATCGAGGAGAGGTGCAACCAGAACAACAAATTTTAAAGTAGATCCAGAACTCCCACCCCAGCCTCCCAGCCTTGGCAGCAGACCAGTAAGAGGCAAAGCTATGCAAGTGCCTGTAACACTCCCACCGCCACCACCCCATCCCACCCCCACATACTTCTGGCCTCCTGGCTGTGCCGGTACCTGGATTCACATCACAGGAGCACAGGGGGTCATAAAAGCTACTGAGCTCTGGCCTTAATTTGGAATTAATTCACACAGTTGAAGGCAAGAGATTAATAACTACCACAAATTGTCATTTTCTAAGCTGCACTTGATGCTTTTGTGTTACTGATTGCATCACTTGGGCTAAGATGTTTTGATTGATCTAATGAGTTGTCCTTCCTGGTATAATGAAAAAGAGATTGCCTCAGAGTCATTAGAGGCTCAAAATCTAAAGACCAGCTACAGCAGGAAGATAAAAGTATTAACCCAGGTATCAAACCAAGGACAGTATCAACAACACAAATAGAAATATGAAGACATTCAAACAGATTTTCACCTTACCAAGCACAAATTCTGGGGGAAATGAGGTGGAAAAGTCAGACAGTCAACCACCTGGACACCCTGAACTGATAGCACACAGAGTAACAAAACAGATGAATGAGGCTCTAGAAAAATTCAAAACAGAAATAATTTCACAGAAAACTACACAGATGGTGAGCAGAATGAACGACATGATTAGAGACTCTAGAACAGAAACAGATAAAAAAAAATACGTGAGCTCAGGGCCATGATAGAAGCCGTGACTGTTCATCACAGGAAGGAAATGGAATCCATGAAACATATTCAAAAAGATATCCAGGAGATTAAAAACTCTACTGAAAGTTTACTAAACAGACTGAGCCAATCCAGACTGTGAAGACAGGATATCAGATATAGAAGACAGGATGGAGATCAGTGACCAAGAAAAAAAAGATCTCTTAAAAATAGTAAGGGAACATGAGAAACCAATCCAACTGCTCCTAGATGATACAAAGAAGAATAATATAAGACTGATAGGAGTCAATGAAAAAGCAGGAGAAAGTACAAACGACATTTTTAAAAAAAACAACTGTTCATAGAATTAATGACAGAAAACTTTCCAAACAGAGTAAAAGAATTTGACATGCAGATAAGTGAGGCAAACAGGACTCCAACTAGCCATAATAAAAAAATCTAC